CATGTGAGTCATCAGGCCACCCAGTACAAGTAGACCGCCCCTCCAACCGTATGCCTGACATATGACCTCAGCCAGGAAGGGTAGAAGCACCATACCCAAACCGGCACCACTCATCCCTACAGCATACAAGAGATGAAAGTTCTTACTGTTGGAGTGTTGGTCCAGTGCAATAATTGAAGACATAGTCACCACACAATGTCCAAAACCTATACGCGTAGAGAGCAAGTGGAAAACAAGTTAAGATAAAATATCTACAACAGTATTATGCAAACACCAGTGACTGTAATGTTTTTATAAAAGTTATAATAACTGTTCATAGATATCAACCTTTGACTTTAAAACCTAAACATTTGTTGACCCAATGTCAAAAACCGATCTCAATTTGTCAATTATATGCTAATGAATGTTCGTTTACTTTATCACTTAAATGGAACATAATAAATGTGTAGTATAATTCCTCAATAACATATATTCTAGTCTATAGTAAACCACCATCTGGAAAACAAACCGTCTAATGCACAACCTAGAGATATTAATGACAAACCCCAACCGTGTTCTTGCTTGACGTGAGCTTGAAAGCGAAACATATCTTCTTCAAAATAATGCCCATGAAAACAAGGACACTAACTAATCAATGAAAGGTCGAGATATATTGTTGTTATTGTTCTTCTTCTTCTTCAAATAGGTTCATTCGAGAAAAACAAATGGTACGAGTGTAGATGTTTGTTGAAGCTAGATATAATCGTAAATTTTAGAACTCGCACTATTTCATGACCGCTTTTTGTCGTGCTGTTTATAATTATGTACAAGCAATTAAGCATTTCAATTCAGGTACCAGGAAATGTTGCTTTGTCTAATATTTACCCCTAAAATCTTCCTTTAATACAAATACACGTTCCTGCAAATATTCTCAAAATTGTATAGTGTTGATCTTACCGCTTATTGATAAGTAGAGAGCGATTAGAAAGTTGTTTGTAGCAAAGGCCGTCAGAATGACTCCAAGAGGAACCAGAAAAGACCCAAAGACCAGAATAGCACGTCTAATTGATTTCAAACTGTAGAGGGCAGCAATTACTACAGGAGCTGTGTTAGATTTGATAATGGAAACAAAGGTAAGAATTAGAGTAACAAATATCGACGGTGATGATACCCCACATAAACGTGTCAAAGATAAAAACATCAGAGGTCATAAGGTCAGAAGTCCAAACTCAAGACGTTGAAATGCAAGAAGTCAAAATGGCAGACCGATAGTTTAAAATAATGTAAACACTTTGGTTGTTGTCTTTGTTTTTCTACACGGTCGTTCTTGTTCCACTTGTGAATTTTTGCACAAAGTAATAGGCATCTATTGACAGAGATTTGCTCCGTGATACACAATTGCATCGCAAAATCATCAATGTTTGGCCTTGAGTATTACCGTGGCAAACCTTTTGACAACGGAATATATTAATCTTGTAATTATTGAAACAGTTCTTTACGCCTCTCGTATTGATCACATTCATGTAGTTTATACAGAGTTCAGTAATGGCATTTAAGTGAGCGAAGGGGAAACCTACCTGGAAAGCATGTGAAGGCTGTAAAAAGCCCCAAAGCTACACCAAGATCTGTCGAGGTTGTTCCAAGACTCAGTGTAATATCCTCTAGATAGATCCCTATTGTCTGAGTAGTGCCGACCTGTGAGCACCCTATCACAAACAAAAGAATAACCACGGGAACACTCGCGGGAACCGACCTTCTGAAACAACCCATGATTCGTCTATTGGACTCGTGCAGTATTCTGTAGTAGATTTTTTGTAGCCTGGAGGTTGTGTTTAGTTGCCTATGACTAGGGTGCTGCTGATGTCATAAGTACAAATTTGATGAAAGTCAATATTCTTAAGTGACCCCGTGACTGTTCACAAGTAACCCTATAATGATAACATTTTGTTAACCTAGGGAGCCCCCATCAGAATAAATCCTGAGCGCGATGCAATTATGATTAACCCATCAATTGCCAGGTACCGACCTACACCTGGGTGGAGAGTGGCAAATGTTGAATAATATTGTACCAAAATACGTTACATCCTGGCCGTGATTCGAATCCTCAACGTTTAAATAGAGAGTCAGGTGAATTAACCACTATAGCACCACACCTTCACCACCGCATTGGGAGAGTTAGAATATCGTATCTCTGACAACTTCTTACCATAAACCGGCCAATCTGGATGTATTTAAATACTTGTTATAAGACATATCCATGTGCTTCTTGTGGTGTTCAGGTTAATCTCAGTTCTGCCACAAACAAAACGATGACAGTGTCGATATGGGACCAGATTCTGCTGTGGTTTCGAGGGTTGAATGAAAAGAGTTGTGGAATTGACATGTTGTAGTCACCTTTTTGGTCGCGAGTAGTCCTTTAGTTTATAGTGAAACATGTGAAGTAGATATACTGAACAACAGCGTTCTTCAAAGCCGTAATACATATTTCCGTGCAATTCTGTTCTAGTACATTTTACAACAGCCAAGGGACAACCTTTGGTATCTAGGCCTACGGTATTGTAAAAATGAAGAATGAAATATATATATTACCCCTTTCTTCGGATTCAGGCTTGCATACCCATATTGTATACAGATTCTCAACTCTCTGGATCGCCACCCGTTGAAAAGGGCATAAAAGACATAAAAACGTGATCACGTGATTTCCCATTTATCAAATCTTGCGTATCAAGCATAAGTTCAATAAACTATTGTCCTGCTGGATTCGTTGCATAAAAGGTCATAATAATCCGACCTAGAATGCCTAAAAGGTCATAATAACCCGACCTAGAATGCCTAAAAGGTAACTTCCGACCAAATTTTAAATTTGGAAACAGCATGAGTAGTATTAGGTATGGCACACCAAAGATAATTACAACAAACACATGTTATTTGATGGTTGCAAATAATCAACCTTTATGAAAGCTTCAAAAAACAAAAAACAGAATTGAAATCGGTCAATGCGTTGTGATTTTATACCCTTTTTTTGATATCGCAAAATTACCGAAAAACCTGCCAGAAATGGTCAAATTGGCAAAAATTGCAAAATTCGACAAAGTTGACAACTTAATTCATCACTTTCTGAGACACAAATAATAAATTAAATTATCAGACACTAAAATATAATCTTTGTGGTAAAAAATACAAAAAAGAAAATTCATATATCTATATTACCGTTTTGAAAACAGAAGCCAACAAAATAAGTAATTTTTGCCATTTTTGCGAATCTGCAGATATGAACAAGTTGTGAAAATAGCTAAGCCCGCCTAATTAATATGCGCATATTTAATCAAATCAAAACCAAACATGATACATCAATGAAACCTATGTATATCAGACAGGTATGGAAATATATTTCATTTTCATTTCATCTCTTTCATTTTTAACATCATATATTCATAGATTAACCTTAAATTCCAATATGTTTGCAATGCCTCCTGTGCGTACAAGAGTGATCACATTCCACAAAAAATAATGCTAAATGATTTGGGATAAAACACTCTTTCGTAAGATGTATAATATGTAACTTTTGATGGGTGGAAAATGGCAAATGTAGATTGATGTCTTGGCAAAGGTTAATATCAGAGGGGAAAATGGGGCACTTCTTTTACATGAAAAGAGGCACTCACCAGGGATGAAAAAAGACACTTATGAAAACAGTAAATGGGCATTTGTCGACGGAAATGGAGCACCCGTCAGATTTTGATCGGGGCCTATATAAGAGGTAAAAGTGGGCATTTATGAAAAGGGGATATGTCCCTTATTAGAAAGGGAAATTATTAGAGGTGAAAAAGGGGCACCTATTGCAACTGAAAATGGGCACTGACAAGATATGAAAAGGGGTGCTTATGAGAATGAAAAAGGGTACTTATAATAAAGGAAAATCTGCATTTGTTGAAAAAAGGAGCACCGATTAGATTTGAGGGAGCTTTCATGAGAAGGGGGAAGTGGCTCTTATTAACAAGAAAAAAGGCACATGTAAGAATAAACGGGGCACTTATCAGAGATGAAAAAGTAAAATTATGCGAAAGAAAAGGGGGCACATACGAAAATAGAAGGTGCGCTTATCGGAGTTGAAAAGGGGGAAGGGGCACTTCTTACAAAAGAACATATGGAAACTTTTGCTTGGATTTGTCCCATAAAAGAAGTTGACCACAACACACAGCATTGAGTGCAGGGGTCGCGGGCAAAGAACCGTAAAATACGAAAAACACTCATTCCAATTAACAATGCATAGATTGAAAATTATCAGACACAGCACTATAACAAAATGTTGCAGCGCTACAAAATATGACAAAAGTTAATATTCAAAGTTACATAAAAACATGCATTTAATCCAGGAACCAGCTAAACAGTTGACAATTGAAAGCACTTGGTCGATCGAAAAAATGAGTTGTTCTAGAGCTACCCACACGTGCATCATGGCGCAAGTAACCTTATTCATTGGCTTGGGTCACTGGCCGCTGACTCTAGTCAGTAAGGAATGACTCGACTCGCTATCTGAGACTCAGGTCAAAGTCTAGTCAATGTCTTTTGGACACGGGAATCAAGTCGGCTCTGTCAGGCTCCCGACTCGAGTAAAGGAAATTAATTTGTCTTTCCAACTCGAGACAAGTAAATTCACAGAAAAAGGCAAATCGAATCGATTCAAGTTTCGAATTGATTTGACTCATTAAAACACTGCAAAATAAAGCAAATATTATAGTGGCACTGTAAAATGTATCGAAAAGATAACACAAAGTCAAATCTGGAATTGGTCGAGTCCATTCATTACAACGCGATGAACGGCCTTCACGCCTTACGTGGTAACAAGGGCGGTTTGGTATATTCCATATTCACTATATTCACTATATTCACTATATTCACTATACTATACTATACATTGGATGTACGGTGCGTAGTCAAACAACATGGAGGCGTTGAATCGCAGTTGTGGGGTAAAATGTATTCCCCGGAGTTTGCCCGTGGTTTTCACTCTATTTCTTATGGCATGTTCTCAGGTTGGTACTATCAAATCTGTGGGGATCTTTCTAGAAGACATCTCGCTGAGTCTTGGAACAACCTCAACAGATATTGGGGTTTCCCTAGGGCTGTTTACGGCCTTCAGCTACTTTCCAGGTAGGTTAGATTTTTGTTTTAAAGATAGTTAAAAGCATTAACCTATCAAATAAAGTCAATTGTAATGGCTTTGTGTGTCACCTTTTAAAGGTACTATGTCCCATTTGCAGGCCCCCAAAAAATGAAAAAGTTAAATTCCGACTGCATTTGAAAGATGATACTAATTTAGAACTTCCCTAAAAAGGTGGGACTTGAAAATGTCTTCAAGTGGGAAAATAACGACTATTAGTTGTCAAATCGACTTTAGGGCTATAGAGCCCAAAAGTGATAGTCTTGATTTTCAGACAATTGAACCGAATGGTCATAGGTTTTATGCTGCACAAAGATTCAATCAGTTTTGGCCAGCACAAGTGGGTTATTGATGTAGACAAATGCTCATGTACCCTTTACAACTCTTTTTATGTATGTTATTACCAAAGAAGAAAAAAGCCAGTCAGTCACACAATAGTGTCTGACAGGGAAGTCTAGCAAGTAAACGGATTTCCTTGCATAATTTGAATATGAGGACACTGCTAACGTTTACATTTCACATATAGGACATACATGACATATTCATAATTCCTGCAAAGTTCTACAGCATTTGAGGTTGGCTGCAAAAGGGACATAGTACCTTTAAAATGAGCGAATGTGACAAGGACATGTTACGTAATCCGAACATGGTATCTGAATACAACACAATATATTTTTCTCGAAATTGTACGGCCTTCAATTACATTTCAGGTAGGTTTAAAGGCGCTAGTGTAGTTGCGTTTCCATTTATATCCATTTTTTTTAGCAGTTTGTTATCCATTCTGAGTAAATGAATTTTAGCCCAATTTTGTACTAATCTTAATCATAATCATATATTGCATTTTCCACCTGAATTTGGATCACATCCGACATCGGGAAACCTCCATTTAGGGCTTCGATGTCGACGTCGTCGCTCAGTAACGTCTCTACGCTGTAGTCCTGCACCTCAAACTGAAGCTATCAGTCCAAAATTATGCAGACTTCTCGTATGGTTTATGGTATCGTGCATGCGCGTAACAAACTTATATGCCAAATATTATCATTATTGTTTTGTTTTTATTGTTGTTGATGAGTCAGGCAAAACATGCTTATTCAGAGCCTTGCCCTCCACCCCCCCCCCTTCCGCAAAAGAGAGAGAGAGAGAGAAAGAGAGTGAAGGAAAAGAAGGGAAATGGAAAAAGGAGAGAAAGGGATAGAAAGAAGAGGAAGAAAAGAAAAGGGGGAAAAAATTAAGAGATCGGGGGCGAGAGGATTTTTTCGAGGGGGGGGGTTAAAATTGTAAAATCACACGGAAAATTTTGCAACGACTCAGCCAGCCGCTGAATAAGCGGGGGGGGAGAGAGGGGGGGGGGGAGGGGTGGGGGGTTGGGGTGGGGGGAGGGCGGTAAGAGGACATTTTTTTTCTTTTTTCCGAAAAATTGGCCGGTGGGGGGGGGGGGTTGGTGTTTTTTGGTCACCCATCATCATTTTTTTGTTTTAATTAATGTTTTTTTTAATATTTTTATATAATCGTAAAGGGGGGGGGGTTACTCTAAAACACACACATTAAAAAAGTCTAAGCGGGGGGGGGGGGGTTCAACTAAATTGTGCTTTTGGCCCTTGTTACTTTCGTGCCTCCGACCTAGTGCCCAGTTGAGTTGATGTAATGCGGGGTATTTTTTGGTGCAACCATGTGATTTTGTGGCATGGCGAAGGGATGGACTAATGTTTGGGATGCGGACGGCTACCGCCCCCTCTCAAACGTTTTGGGTAGTTACGCCACTTGAGGATGGTGGGGGATCTTCTGTAAAGGGAGGATGGGGCGATCGCCATTATCTCACAATGACTTGGCAAGAATCGTCTAAACACTTGGAAATTGTAGGTACATCTGATTGTTCCAATCAATCTAATTATGACAACACAACAACAATTTATCACAGCCTGGTGTACCTTTCTGAAAATAAATCTGATTAGACTAATAATAATCACAATCTTTTTAATGATGAAAATGAATGCAAATATCAATAATAAAAATTAATACAAATGAAAGGTAGACTTCTTGTTCGAAGATCTCCATCTGTAAGTATTTGTGGATATTTGGGTTCCTATATGTACCGAAGCTAACTACAAACGGGTTTATGCATTATCACTTACTTTCTGTTTTAACTTGTTTGTCTTGCCCTGCTTATTGTCTGATGTAGCTCCCTTGATTGTCGCCCTCTACCGTGTGACATCGCTTCGTCGTGTGATCCTCATCTTGGGAGCATGTTTGATATCTCTGGGTGTCACCCTTACAGCTTTGGCAACCAACAACGTTCTGGTTGCTGTCTACTTATCAATAGCTGGTAAGAGTTTTCAAAAGGCCAAAATCAGAATGTATAAATATTTATAACCTCTTGTGACCTCAAAGCTTCATTTTCAAACTTACATTATTACATAATTTGACAATCAGAATGTAGAAACACATAGTTGTTAGCTTGCTGCTATGTTGGTAATTCTTAGTTTAACTCTCATCCTGCCACCGGGTTAATCCCCATTGTGCCAAGCCACAGATCCCCTCACTGCCAAGTTTATAACGAGATGATCGGATTAAAGCGATGGTACTATTAATAGCGCGTGCAAAACACTAGGCACAGTCCAATGGGCATGAACAATAACTGCTATTACGAATGCTTGCAAACATGCAAGAAGCAGAGGAGCAGCAGCTTGCTGGGGTGTACAAGGCACTATAACAATAGCGTGCATGCATCATTATGGCAGGATATGAGTTAATGTCGCATCATGTTTAGTCAGCACATTAATTAGAAGTTACGTGGTATAAAGTGACGACATACTGGCGAAGTTGTTAAGGTTGATGGTTCCAAACCATGTTGTGCTAAACAATGTCATGGTCCTGTCATGGTCATCTGTCATGGCTACCAACCTTATAACATTATCACAAATGCTAGACAATGTTATAGAAGTAGTTGGTAAAACGTGTGACGAACTACGTTGCATTTGCACCATGACCAGTTTATAAATGTATTCATATTGATAATCACTTTAAACTAAAGGCGGCATCGACGATTCAAATTTGAGTGCCCAGGAAGGGGGGGGGGGGCGCGGGCTTGTTTACACATATGTGTGTTCATCGCAAATGTTCAAGGAATCCACAAGGTTTTTGGAATTTTTAAACTGTTTGAACTTTTTAAATTTTGAACTTTAAGAAGAATATATTTCTTTGCTTCTTTAATTTACCCCAAAAAAAAGAACTTATGTTAATAAAATGAGGTTTTGTTTATACATTGACAGGCATTGGAAATTGCATGCTAGCGATATCTTCAACACTCGCTTTGGACCAACTTGGAAGCAACCAGAACTTCAACTTATTGTATGGTGTGGGTATGAGCGGGTTCGGCCTTGGCATGGTTCTTCTACCAATCCTGGCTGATGTCTTAGGTCGAGCTTACGGTTGGAGAGGTGGTATTTTTATACTAGGCGGCCTAATGGCCAACCTAGTCCCTTGCGCCATGACCATTCAAGTAGAACCAGCCTTTGGTCAGGACCTAACAACGGTTCATCGTGCAAACATTGACAACTTCGAGGAAAGTGGTCGATCTGAAGAAAGATTCTGCAACGATCGCCCGACCGAGGAGGAAGAAACAACACTGTTATGCCCCGAAAGAAGTCCTTGTACATCATCTTATCAACCTGAGCATCAGTTGTTGGACGATGACACGTCAATGGAATCTACAGCAGTCAACAAGATCCAGAAGGAATTTCAAGAACAAGACCAGAATTCCAGGCAGTTCCTTGATAGAATACGTAATAGTATACGCCGGTCCGATTTTTACAGGGACCCAATTTTTAACGTCATGTTTGTATCTGAGTTCATGTTCGGTATGCTCTATTGTGGCTGGCATGCATTTCTGGTGCCCCATGCCATTCAGAGAGGGTACTCCATCCGTGCTACCATATCGATGACTTTATTTGCCTCGGTAGGAAATTTTCTCGGAAGACTCTTGGCAGGCGCCCTCTCCGACCGCTTAGCGAATCCCATCTGTCTGTACCTTGTTGCTGCCTTGCTGAATGCAAGTGCCATTTTGTGCGATGCGTTCTTTCATCATTACTATGTTATGTTGGTAACAGCTTGTATATCTGCTATGTGCATCGCTGGAATGGCTGTGATGGGACCACTGGCAGTGAGGAAAAGAGCATCTCCTGCAAACTTTGACGTTGCATATGCAGTCAATGAGCTATTCTTCGGCTCTGGAACTTTCTTTGGAGGCTACCTTTCAGGTAAGAATTTCTCACGAACTGGAGTGTCTAATTAGTATTCGAATTAATATTTATTGTGTGATAGTGCTCGGTGTTATCAAAATAGTTAGGATAATGTCACACAATTGAACTTGGTCTGTGAGGACCCTACATAATTGTTTAACTATACAGGTTCCTGCTTGCCATACCGGAATTTGATGGGTGATACAGCTGCAGAATTAGCCAATTATATCACTCCTCATAAACCTCAACTGTGGATAGAACCGAATTTGTGACAAAGCGGATGAGGGGAGGGGTTATAACGTTACTACCTTCTTTTCGTTATTTTGTCCTTCGGGAATTCTACTTGCCGTCCGTTTTTTCCGACACCCTCTATCCTGCCTCCCGGAAGACAAGGATGTTTGGCAACGTTTTGGATTGTTAGAGGTTTTCCTTTATAGCAGTCTGACTTATGGGACTTGTCACTGTGCAGTTTGTTTTGCCTATACCAATATATCAATCTATGCCGTCGTAGGTTATGAAGTGATAACATGTTTTTTATTCAAGCATAACACTTTGAATATTACTTTGTCTAAAACATATTCATTCATATGAACTTTCTCAATAATAAATAAATTATGCCCTAAATGAATGTTTGAGGATTAAATTACCACTTTCTTGCCTTTAGGTCTTTGTTCTTTTCTAATTTCATATTGATTTCACCAAGTAATCTAAGGCGATTAGCTCATATTTAGTCCGAGTAAATTATAATTATATTTACTGTGATAAAAAAAGAAAGATTAAAGATAACTCATAAAATATATTTAATATTTCGTATGACTAAAACATTACAAGTCTGTTTCTTTATTTTTCTGTTTCATACGCAGGTCTTGTTGCTGGAACATATTCATCCTATAATGCCACTTTCAATTTTCTAGCTGCTGTAGACCTCTTGGTTTTTTCACTAATGCTCTCGGTTTCACTGATAAAGAAACCCCTTAAAATTTGATTCTAGTACGACTAGGGTCAGTGGCGGATCCAGGGGGAGCAAAACAAAAAGAAGAAAGTTGGGCCCCCTCCCCTAAGAAATCCTGGATCCGCGCCTGACTAGGGTAGTAACTAGTTTGCAGGCACAAACCCTGGTCAGTCGTGAAAGAGAGTCTGCACTATAAGACTACAATAGGCCATGTACTATAGTTGCTCCTGACACAACCAGTAGGTAGCTGGGCTAGGCTTCTCTCAAGGAACAATGTTTTTTTTTGATAAAGTGTCAAATTAGGGTCTGTGCGTGCAGACTAGGTAGTAACGGGCGATGATAATGTCCGCCAAGCAGCATGTTGTTGCTTTATTGCTCATTTACACGACTTAATTAGTCTCGTTCACATTATGTGGTATAGTTTAACCATAACGGGAATAAGCCTTTATAAGGTTTACTGGCATTTTACACAACTTCCAGACACAGCAGGAAAATGTTGTCAACTATCTTTTTAACTTAATGTTTAGTGAATTAGCTTGTGTTAGCAACGTTGACACAGCTTGGAAATTGTGGTACAATCACGTAATGTCAGTAATTAATAAACATATGCCATATAAACGCAAAAGAATGAGGAAAAAACCCTCTCCTTGGATCACAGGTGAAATTATTACATTGATAAATAAAAGAAAGAATCTCCTATAATAAGGCTTTAAAGTTTAACTCCTCAAGATTATGGAAAGAATATCGTAGAATACGTAACATGGTAACAAGTTTAACTAAAAAATCTAAACAAAAGTATAAACAGGGTTTATTGCAAGATAAGTCTGGTGACCCTGGTGCATTATGGTCAATTCTAAAGCAACTGTCCTCTGGCACTGGTCAGCTTTCCATAAAATTGAATAAAACCAAAATTCGTCCTATTTTAAGGGCGGTTATCGATTATGTATAGAAAATTACCGACCAATATCCTTATTGTCAATTGTTTCAAAAAATTTGGAGAAATGGGTACAAAAGCATCTACAGACATACCTATTAAATAGCGATTTCTTTAGTGAAAGTCAATTTGTTTTTAGATCAAAGCATTCATGTGAAAGTGCTCTATTGTGTATGGTTGATGACTGGCCAACTGAAGTTGATAGGAGTAAATTTTGTGGGGTAGCGTTTATTGATATGCGTAAAGCCTTTGATTCTGTTTAAGCCCCAGTCCCATATAAAGCCGGACCAGCACGGACGAGCACGGACCACTCCGGACCATCCCGGACCATGGTCTGGGGTGATCCGGGATGGTCCGGGATGTTTTGTTCAAAAAATCGCAACCGCCGACCGTCTCCGCGGACCCGACACGGTACCACTACGGACCGCCCCGTACCGTCCGGGCATAGCCCCGGCAGCAGTACAGATCATTCCAGACCCAGCACGGAGCCGCCACGGACCGTCCCGGACCACCCCGGTGCCAACACGGTGCCAACACGGATGACATCGGACCATCCCGGTGCCAACACGGATCATCCCGTGCTGGTCCGTGCTGGTCCAGGGTGATCCGTGTCGCCACCGTGCTGGGTCCGGGATCATCCGTAGGGGCGCCGGGGTGATCCGGGGTCAATAACTCACTCCCGGACTGCCACGGATCAACACGGACCGCCCCGGCGCCACTACGGATGACACCGTACCCAGCCCGGTGGCTACACGGATCACCCCGGATCAAACTATTGTCCCGGACCGTCCCGGACCACCCCGGCAGTTTTTGACCGTCAAAAACATCCGGGGTCGACTCCCGGACCGCCCAGGACCATCCAGGACCATCCAGGACCATCCAGGACCATCCAGGACCACCCCGATGCCAACACGGTGTCAACACGGACCGAATCCCGGATCACCCCGGATGGGGTCCGGGATGGTCCGGGACGGTCCGGGACGTATATGGGACTGTAGCTTAATAAATTTGCTATAATAGGATGCTCTGAGAATGCATTGGCATGGTTTAAATCTTAAGCCCCAGTCCCATATAAAGCCGGACCAGCACGGACCAGCACGGACCACTCCGGACCATCCCGGACCATGGTCTGGGGTGATCCGGGATGGTCCGGGATGTTTTGTTCAAAAAAGTGTGATGCTTTTAAAGCTACAGTCCCATATACGTCCCGGACCGTCCCGGACCATCCCGGACCCCATCCGGGGTGATCCGGGATTCGGTCCGTGTTGACACCGTGTTGGCACCGGGGTGGTCCTGGATGGTCCTGGATGGTCCTGGATGGTCCTGGGCGGTCAATAACTCACTCCCGGACTGCCACGGATCAACACGGACCGCCCCGGCGCCACTACGGATGACCCCGGACCCAGCACGGTGGCTACACGGATCACCCCGGATCAAACTATTGTCCCGGACCGTCCCGGACCACCCCGGCAGTTTTTGACCGTCAAAAACATCCGGGGTCGACTCCCGGACCGCCCAGGACCATCCAGGACCATCCAGGACCATCCAGGACCATCCAGGACCATCCAGGACCATCCAGGACCACCCCGGTGCCAACACGGTGTCAACACGGACCGAATCCCGGATCACCCCGGATGGGGTCCGGGATGGTCCGGGACGGTCCGGGACGTATATGGGACTGTAGCTTTACTTTTGCTTTAGGGATCAATTGACAGAAATAGGGGGTAAATTATCCAATACACGGTCAACTATCTCTGGGGTACCACAAGGCTCGGTTTTAGGGCCCCTGTTGTTTACAATATATATTAACGATTTGGTTTCCAGTATAAAGTCAGGAAAAGTTGTCATGTTTGCTGACGATGCAACTCTGTATGTTAGTGGTAGCAGGGGCGTACGCAGGATTTTTTCAAGGGGGGGGGTTTTAAAATATTTTGCTCCCGAAAATTTGAAAATCGCGCCGGCCGAAAAGTCGCTCAGTGGGGGGGGGGGGGGGGGGAGTGTAAGCGGACACTTTTTTTTCGTTGGGGGGGGGGGGGTAAGGTCACCTTTTTTAGGTTAGCCGTGGGTATAATTTTTTTTTTTAATTTTTTTTTTTAATAATTAAAAAAAAATAAAATAAAATAAAAAAAAAAACAAAGGGGGGGGGGGGGGGGGGGGGGGGTTTGAACCCCCAAACCCCCCCCCCCCTGCGTACGCCCCTCAGTGGTAGTAATCTAGAATCGGTTGAAAGTCAACTAAATTCTGCAATGAATGAATTAAGTCTACACGTGGACATCTAAGAATAGACGAAAGTGATGCTTCTTGGTTCTCGACAACGATTGAATACATTGCAGGATAACAAATATCTGTTATAAGTAATGGTACCTTATTAGAATGTGTATCTGAATATAAGTGTCTGGGGGTGTCGATTGATGATACTCTGACATTCAAATCTCATGTTACTTCTATTGCAAAAGTCATGAAACAAAAAACTGGCCTAATTAGAAGAAACAAATTATATTTAATGTTGATCAACTTAAAAGATTATATTGGGGATTTGTTCTCCCCCTTGCATTATATTGTTCAACCGTCTTGTCATCTTCATCCGAATCTAACTACAAAATATTAAACACGCTACACAAGCGCGCAGCATATATTGTAAGTGGATATACTTGGGAAACCTCATCGGAAACAGTTTTTCGAATACTAGCCTGGCCTACTCTAAAAGAACTGTTTAACAAGTCAATATCATGCATGGTTTATAAATGTGTAAGTGGGGTAGCACTATCCCAGTTATGTAGTAAATTTGTTCTAAATGACAATGTCTCTACACGTGTAACACGAAGCACCAACAGGTTGTTATTACGTATCCCGCAATGTGAAACTCAATATTATCAGAGGACATTCGTATCAGTTAGTATTAGTATAATGAATGGAATTGTTTGTCCGATGAATGCCGATCTGCCCAGTCCTTAGCCATTTTCAAAAATCTTATCAAACCTGGCAATAAATAGCTCTTTCTTTCTTCTTTTTTAAATGAAGGTGGAGGAGGGGGGTTGCAGTGAGGTCAAATTCATTTTATGTTTGATTTGAATGTAATTTGTATTTTGTAAACAGGTGGCAAACAGGTGTGTGTGTGTGTGTGTGTGTGTTAGCCTTCGCTACCCCTGTATTGTTCATTATCATGTTATGTTGTTTTTAAACAGAGCCCTGTTGTTAACCAGCCTATTTTAATGTTTTTAGCAATTGCTCATAATGATTATATAACTGAACATGATACTCTATATTAAGATGCGAAATAAATAAATAAAATAAATAAACCTTTTTCTTCCGAATAGTTAATGTATGCAGGAAGTGCAATTGCAATGTCAATTAACCACTAAAATCATCACAGGTGATTATGAGGACTACGTCATTCTATTTATTGTGACATCATGAAACCGGTTTGATCTCAAATGATGGACGGTATTGATCCAAAAGGTAAGGAGAGCACACACTCTGATTCTACCCTCGATACAATGTTTGGTTCCTAAGACGAAAAATGTATATATTACATGTTTCATTGAATGGAAGTACTACCCATGCATTTCAGTATTCAAACTTGAGTTGTGACATACAATTTAATTCATCTCTTCTATTTGATATTACTGTATCTATTATAAACTTAGATGTATACATCTCATTACACAGACATATGTAGTGAAAAATTAGTTTATGAAGTAAGCATGGTCATTATCAGGACATTTGCATGCCCTGTTATTGTTAACGTTTGAACAATAACAATAACTGTCGTCTACGTACGTTTACAGGCAGAGGAAACTTATAAGCTTCCCAAGAAGCAATATGTTTAATCATTAGTCATTAGTTTTATTAGTTATATTGTTTTTAATTTAGGGTCAGGGTTAGGGTTAGCGTTAGTGTAATATACTAGTTGTTTTGATGTCCGGTTAATGTACCATTTAGGGTTATATAAAGATGTCTTGTTAATACAACATGTAGGGTTATATATATATATATATATATGCATATACCATTCATCTTATCGAACTCCTGCTTGTTTTGCGACGGCCTATAATCATCCCATTGTTTAAACATTACACCGTTATCAGCCCAATCAGACATGATATATTTTCAAAGACCTGGATAAAAGTTTCAAGAGCATCAACGGTCTACGGAGTCATTTTGTACCAACCTCTCATCAACGTTTACGAGGGACTGTATTAGTTTCTATTTACCCCACTAACATGACACTGTCTATTAAAATATTAAAATTATCAGGTACAATCATATAAATCTGGAAAATTGTTTTCATAGGTTCGACGGCAACCTTTAGCATCATATGCTATCAACCTCTTCAGTCACGGATAGTACTGTATGAACGTGTTACGAGAGACAGTAGAGGTTCTACTCACCTCACTAAAACAACACTAGTAAAATATTAAGATTATCAGGCACAATCTCATAATTCTGGAAAATTGTTTTCAGAAGTTCGACGGCAACCTTTAGCATCATATTCTTTCAACCTCTTCAGTCACGGATAGTACTGTATGGTCGTGTTACGAGGGACAGTAGTGGTTCTATTCACCTCACTAAAATGACACTAGTAAAATATTAACATTATCGGGCACAATCTTATAATTCTGGAAAAAAAATTCAGAAGTTCGACGGCAACCTTTAGTATCATATTCTATCAACCTCTTCAATCACGTATAGTACTGTATGAACGTTTTACGAGGGACAGTAGTAGTTTACAATCACCTCATTAAAAATTACCCTGATATAATACGATATACTATTTACATTGCCCGGCACTATGTCATAGTTCTGGATAATTGGTTTCATATAGTTCGACGGCAACCTTTACCATCATATTTTATCAACCTTTTCAGTCACGTATAGTACTGTATGAACGTTTGACGAGGGACAGTAGTAGTTTACAACCACCTCACTAAAAGTTACCCTGATATATACGATATTCTATTTACATTATCAGGCACAATCTTATAATTCTGGATAATTGGTTTCATATAGTTCGACGGCAACCTTTACCATCATATTTTATCAACCTTTTCAGTCACGTATAGTACTGTATGAATGTTTGACGAGGAACAGTAGTAGTTTACAACCACCTCACTAAAAGTTACCCTGATATAATACGATATTATATTTACATTATCCGGCACTATCTTATAGTTCTGGATAATTGGTTTCATATAGTTCTACGGCAACCTCTAGTATCTTATCCTATCAAGCTCTTCGGGAACTATCTTATAGAACTGGATGAACGTTTTACGAGGGTCAATAGTAGTTTACAACCACCTCACTAAAAGTTACCCTGGTATAATACGATATTCTATTTACATTATCCGTCACTATGTCATAGTTCTGGATAAACGGTTTTGTAGATTCTATGGCGACCTCTAGCATCATATCCTATCAACCTCTTCGGGAACTATCTCATAGTACTGGATGAACGTTTTACGAGGGTCAATAGTAATCTCTATCAGCCTCGCTATCAGGATGAGTACGATGAAGCCAAATAAGACAAAGGCAGCGATGGCGTGGTTTCTTGCCGACTTGGACGCTTTTCTGGCACCTGGCAGATCCTTTGCTTTTACATGAGAGTCCACCTGTAAGAGTAACATACATCGAACAAATTAATATAGAGTTTCGGTAAAAGGATGACGAACAAGCCTGGAAGCAGCCACACTCAGCCATGTTTTTCGATCTTGTTTCACCATTTAGAACATCAATAATGCAATAAATGTGACATTATATTAGCGTCTTATCATTTCGTTTGAAGCCATTAGGTAGCTGAAATGATTTTTCTTTTTCTGGATTCTTAAAGAATTATTTGAATATTGTATAAATTGTCTAATTTGTAATAAACTTCTACTCGAGATAAACGAGTTTCTTCTTTTTTTACAACTGGAAACTTGCAATTTGCTTTTTTGTATTATCAAATCGTTGTGTATGTCATGTTCTTTAAACAAAAACGTGGGAAATAAATGAACCTTGAACCAAGCTAGAAGTAACAGAACATATATTGAAAACAATCTCATATTCCCACCTCGATGACAAGTGTTAATCAAAAAGAAGATTAATCAATTCTTAAATGTAATTTTGAGATTTGGAAAGTTACACATAGTTTCATTCAGGCCACTTTAAAGAAAAACGGTCAATAATTATTGAAATACCTGATGAGATTTTCTGAGTGCCCAGATCCCGATTGGGAAAAACCAGATAGCCGCCATCACTGAGAAGAATCGATGATTTGAAAAAGTCCCCGTGTCAGACTTCTTTCTACTCGCGGGTGTCTGTTCCCCTTGCTGCCCTTGTTGGTTGTTGCTAGGTGGGGTTTCTGGATCGCGACGCAGTTGTGGCACTTCTGAAACGGTTACAATGGTCGGAGAAGTCTCCTCGATCTCACCTCTGGATCGTCTTTCATTCGCCGGCCTGTGATTCACTTTTTCGTTCGTGTTAGCTGAGGGTTCTGGACGTACATGTCTGTGTGGTACTTGCGAAACGGCTGACATGTTCGAGGTTATTTCGTTGTTCTCTCTTGTTCGTCTTTCATTTGACGGTTTGTACTGATGATGTCTGTCATGAGTTGGATGTGTCTGTAACGAAGGTTTTCCTGGAGGGTGTACATGACCAGCTGGCTGTGAATCGTCGTGTCTTATATGGCGTTGTGGTTTCGGCGGAAGTTGCGATCGATTTCCCTTGTTGTCACTTGGTCTTCTAGTTGTATGAGGTCGGTGAGGCCTTTGCTCGTGTGGCCTAAGATTGTCGTCTCTGCCAGGTCGGTGTGGATGCTTTGATGAAAGATGTTGTCTGGGTTCTTGAGTTGGTCGTAGTCTCTGAGAGGGGGGATTGTTTTCATTGATTTTATTGAGATTATTACGTATGGCATTGTTATCTTCCTGGAAAATGAGTTGCAAAAATGGTCTGTTGATATCATTCGGGTATGTCAGTGGTCGGTCATTCTTTCCTACGAGGGCAGGGTTTCTTAGTGGAACAGCTCGATGGAGATGTTCATCGGAGAAGGTTCTGGGCTTGGGCCTTGAGTTAACCCGTGTCGAATTAAGCTGCGTACGACCCTTGCTATTTAAAGGATGTTCCCCGGCTATGTATGCTCGTTGTTGTGGCCTATGAGGACTTGCGGATGTTGCTTTACTAGCGATTCTACTGTTATAGCTTCTTTCGGCCGATGGCCTTCTGGATTCGAGGGGTCCTACACGCTTGCTTGTTGAATGGCTATTAGGACCTGATTTTCTTTGCATAAAGAGGTCTAGTTCCTGCTTGATAAGGGATCTTCGAACATCTCCTTCTTGCGCCTCCTGTCTAGGATGTTCACCGCCTGAGGGCGCACCATGCCCCCTGCTTTGACCCATTTCGTCTTTATCGCCTGGCTTTCGTGATCTCGCAGAACTGCTCTGATGCAGACGGTCGTTCTCTTTATCAATAGTCTTCCTACCAAGTTTTGATTGCAACCCATCACCCAGGTCCCCGACTGGATCTTTCGGTTTGGGGTACACTCTTCTTTTCTGACGATACGCCCTTGGCTGTCCTACATCTGATGCCCAGCTGCGTTCAGTAAATACACTATCAAGTGTTGAAGATTGGGAGCTATCATAGACATGTCCCTTCCCATACCAATCTATTGCTCGACGGCGCACACTGTCCGACGAAACAGGCTTCTTTGTAGGTCTGTGCTGGTCTACGGAGGTATAATTATTCAATTCTTCAATGTTGTAGGCATATCCCGGATTGTCCAGACCATAGTTTTGGGAACTTTCATCTTCTGGTGCGGCATCGTCAGAAGTCCTAGGGTAGCTGAACACTTCATCCACCAGTGGCGTCAAGCCCACGGGTTCTCCATGATGTTGTTCATATGCTTGGTCTCTGCCAACCTCTGCGTCATAAGGATCCCTTGCCTGCAGCTCCCGAATCTCAGGACCCATCCAGTCGATACTCTCTGAAGCTCGAGTGATGTCTTCGGGGTCGCTCTGACCTCTTTTCCCCTCAAGGACGAACCGGATGTGCCTATCAGGAGAGCTTGCCCGCCTTTCTCTGTTCTCCGTGATGATGATGCCATTATTGGGACGCAGTGGCTTCTCGTCCTCAGACTCGTCAATATGGACAAGTTCAGCCCAAACAGAAACATTGGGCTGGTTGATGATGTCAACTTGTAATTTATCGGCAGGTTTGGCAAAGTCACTGAAAATATAAAGGTGAATAGATGGAAATGATGAAATAATAAACAAATATATAAAAATAACGGTTGTTAGGCTTATTTCTAACAATAATGTTTACTATAATACAAAAGGAAAAAAAATAATATCATTAATATCATCTTTTTTTCCTTTCACAATGAAACGACCTTAATAAGGCCGTTTCAGTGTGAAAGGATTGAATTCAAGAATATTATATTGGCCTCAATTGACAGAAATATCTTGATGCTTTTGAAGTGTTAAATATGTATAATATGTGATATCATTGCAGTGGTAACAATAAAGATGATTTAAGTAGTGCTTGTTATAGGTCTCTGTGCCATTTTAAAGATTTCGAAGGAATAAAAGGAAGAGGACGAAGAAGAAGAAAGAAGAAGGAGGAGGTGAAAATCAAGGACAAGAACCAAAAACAAAAAAAGATGAACAGAATTAGAACAAGATTGATAGATGATTAAAGATTCAAGACATTTTAATTACCCATAACCATAAAAACATAGAAAAAATAATCCAAAATAAAGTGTGGTATATGGAAAAGACGGATAGAAAATCAAATATTTGTGGGGAATAGCCCTGAAAGTGAAAGAAGGAAAAAACAGCCAAATACCAAGTAAATACAGAGTTAAATTAATCAATAATAGAAACTTAAAAGAAACTTAATTACCAAAATGAAACACAAGACCAAGAAGAAAAGAATAATAATGAGAAGAAGTAGTAGAAGAAGTAGAAAGCGAAAAAGAAGGACTAAAATACTAGGCAACACATCAGAGATATGACATCGTTTCTCATATCAAATTAAGTATGCAATTATTTTCTAAAATATGCAGTACTTAAAAAATGGTTAGCCATTGGAATAATGATAATTTTAGCCACACGAAAGTGTCTGCTCAAGGCGATAAATACCTATTGTGATATGGCAATTCCGGATGAGATTTTGAACCTTCTAGATTTTCAAGCAGTCTGTCAATATCAGGTAGGCCTTGTAAATCCTTAGTGAGCTCTGGAACGATATCTAAGTATGACCTTGGAGCTGGTCCCTTCGAGGAGCGAACAGCCACAGAATACGGCGGTGGAGGCTCCCGATGAGATGGGTCGTCGCTTGGTTCGTTATTCGTTCGTTCGAATGTACGTTGTTCACTTTCATCCATGCTTCCGATGTTGTCCCGGTGGGAACTGTCATCTGTTAGCCAATGATCACCTGGATCAACGTTTTCAAAGTCAAATTTGTTATCTGTTGTTAATGAATCGGGAAAAGGGTGTCGAATCTTCTCGAATGGGCCAGTGATAGCTGGATGCACTCCCGGGGAAATCCATGTGCTTGCTGACTCTTCGTCGATCAAAGATCGTCGGGGCTCTTTAGATGAGGTCCATGGAGTGTCTTTGAAGTTTCCATTCCTCTGCGCCAATTGCGGTGAGTACACACCTTGGTAGCTACCGGCCGAATCCGACGGGACTGGACTGTCAGATTCAGACAGTGTCTTGCTGTATGGGGAGCTTTTCTCAGTCTCATCGCTGTACCTGTACTTCATAAGGCTAGCGTCGTATTTCTGAGCGAGTATCCGATGTTTCCCGGTACGGCTGTATCTTCTGTGTGACTCGTCCTGTACCGAGTAGAAACCATGATCCGGGAAGGATAAATCCTCGTCGTGTTCATACTCCATACCGTGTATGCCTGTAATTTAAATGAAAACAAGACTAACATTTACAATTTTCATCAAAAAAAATAATGGTAATAATAATAATGTTTTATTTACCCAGGGTAGCCACTTTAGTTATGAAACTGTTCTTCCGGCGGGCCCTGCATAACATAATATGTTATTACTACCCTTATCCAATCTAATATGCGGAGCGCCTAGCTAGAAGGCAGAACGTCCCCTTGTTATAAGTCTTTGGTATGACTCGGCCGTGGTTCGAACCCACGACCTCCCGTTCATGAGGCGGGCGCTCTAACCACTGAGCCACCATACCCGGTGAAACAATAATGCAAATGGCATTCCTAAATTACAGATGAAACTTTTAATATTGAAGTAACATCTATAGTAATTGTCTGCATCTTAGTGTAAATTTACCTTACGTGAGGTTTTGAACTGCGTTTTACTGCTTTTTTGTAATCTTTTTATAATAACTTGTAAATATTGTGATTGTTTTTTTATTGTTCAATAAAACACATGAAGAAAAAAATTGAATAAAGCTACAGACCAAAAATTAAGTTGCTGAAAATGCACAACCATAAAACCATGTTTCTTTTAATCACAACAAATAACAACAACAGATAACCATAAATTGTTTCTTTTAATCAAAACAAACATCAACAACAGATGCCAAAACGAAACATGTCCTATAAACTAGTTCCCCGGGAAAATATGAATTCCAAGATTAAAGAATGTACTTTGTACCTAATGGAGCACCTAATATAAATAGAAGGGGATTTTTTTTTTATTGAAACGTTCTATGAAGCACGGTCTGTTGGCGTTCATAATATTAATAATTTTATGGCACTGATCAAACAATGTCGTGGTCGTAAAATTGATGAAATGCCTGTTCATGATAACTATTGACTATGTTGCCACCTGTGGGAATCTTTAGCACTTTAAAGGGAACCAGGCATATTATAATGTAATGGCAAAAGGAGCAGCAGCAGCGGTACGAGTAGTACGTAATATAAGTGATGGGGTGACAGTAGTAGTGATGCTAGTAACATAGTGGTGGTAGTAGTAGTAGTAGTAGTAGTAGTAGTAGTATATAGTAGTAGTAGTAGTAGTAGTAGTAGTAGTAGAAGTAGTAGTATGGGAAGTAGTAGTAGTAGTAGTGGAAGTAGGAGTGCTATACAGTGCATATTAAAATAGATATACACCCAAATTTAAAACCTGTGTGACTTTGAATTGAATCTAATATTGATGTGTAACTGATATCTAGTCAAATGGCAACCTATTAATAACTCCGCTGCCACAGACAACTGTGCAGCTGCCATTTAGAAAAGAGTTGTTTAAATCCTCCTGCACAACGTTTGGGTTGAAGCAAAGAATATGGGTAAAAGCCTTTGCGAACTCTTATTTCAGTTCGAACACAATGACAGACATAAATTATGTGCATTGTTTTGTGAATTAGAAAATAGAAAAGGTAATAATTTCAAATCAGACTCAAGAAAAGGTTCATTTAATAGCAAACTTCATTTTATTCTCTTTGCTATGATGACCAAATCTTGGCTTCTCTCATGTCTCATGTTTAAGGTAAAACTGCTCGTGTACTGGTCATTTAGTCATTACAAATGAACGAAGTTCAATTACATGGATGCTATCTACTTATCTTTTTTTCATGAAAGTCTTCTGTCTTTGTATATGGTAGTTATCCTCGTGACTTTCTTGCACGCATTTATTGAACCTTTGAGGTCAGTAAACCTCCAAGTTTTCATTTGCTGTTCGAGACAAATATTTCTTGCATCTTACACACCTTAATCAAGTGGTGCAATGGACACGTGAGAAAATAATTGTTTGATATCACGAGACAGAAAATGGGAATACTGTTGTCTTTAATCACTTTAAACAATACAGCATTGAACAATGAAGCAGAATTCGAGTTAATTTTAAAAAGATATAAGACCAACGTAGCGCATGCATGTGACCTGACTCACATTCGGTACATCTGGCCAAACTTGGTACAAGGAGATTTGGAAGGCACTTTTTTTTCATTGAACCCAGTTGGTCAGCCATCGGTTTCGTGAAAGACATTTTAATGAATATGGTATCATCGGACAGAAGACAAGTTACTCTCCACAATGAAATTGGTAATAAGTTTACATTTATTATGAGGTTTTATTGAAAGCTACTAAAGTTGGATATACTATTTTGTTACGCATTGTAAACTATTATACTACTTGTAGTTGTTGTTATTTGAGTATATAGCAGCAGCAAGAGGGGTAGTGTTAATCGTATGGTATTAGCAGCAACAGCTAGCATCAGCAACAGTAGTAGTAGTAATAGTAGTATTAGTATTAGTAGTAGTAGTAGTAGAAGTAGTAGAAGTAGTAGTAGTAGTAGTAGTAGTAGTAGTAGTAGAAGTAGTACAATATTACTTGTATTCAACCTTCCAGCTTAAAAATAATTTTCTCTCCATGACAATGTATTATAATACGCGGGATATTGTACGTCAAGTATGCAAATATACCATCAACAGTGCTTATAACTTTGTGCAGTAACACATTGTACTAAACAATAACATGATTATAGACTAATGAAACTTGGTTAGGGGCACGGCGAGCATAATAGACATGGTACAAATTACAAGTATTAATCGTACAAAGTACTTACCAATTGCTTGTTGGATAAACCAGCTTCATAAACCCGACATTTATTCAAGAGCTTAGTAGCGCCATTACTCCGCGGATCATACACAGCGAGTTATCATACTGTATTATATCTCCCTTGACGTATTTCATTGATATGGTTCGGTAATCTGTCCCGAACTGAACGCTATTCAGCCCTCACCTTTTGGTATTGAGCTATTGTGACAAGTCGAGGTATTCAAATACCACAATAGTAGTATATAGTTTCACGTTTCATTTCTCCGTGTCACCACGCTATGTTGTATGGCGACGCCCAGGGGGTTCAAAAGGGGTGCAGAAGCTTACGCCATGCCCCCTTTTAGTTTATTCGTGATCTTTGGCGTTAAAGGTTGTTGATTGGTATAGATTATGGGTAAGTATGAATATCACGCACATTTCCCAATTATATTTCTTCGCCAAACACATCCATTAGTTCTCGTCTTAAATTATAATGATCATGATGATTAAAAGGTTAAAACGCATAAGCGATGAAATCAAAATCCCATAATCTGCATTTAGAGTGAGTGGGTACGTGGCAAATGTTGATTCTTCTACCAGACTGCATTTTCTACCAATTTTGTTGTATGTATATCACACATGATATATAAGTGCGTGCAGAAGACGGTCCCGATTGTAGTATGTGGAAAGTGAAATTTGTATTTTAAATATCTTAATATCCTCTCATAGTGACGTGGCAATCTTCTTCCAGTTAACTTTAGGAGAAAGTTGATATCTAAAAGTGAAACATTGTGAGCTTTCTTTCTCGCGTAAGATTGAAAGAATACGAGAAGAGTTGTACCCTAACTGATAGTAAGTGCTCTTCAGATGTGCTCTCATGCGATATTTAATTGCACAACTAGTACTCAATTTTATTTTAAAAAGTGGTGCCACGTTGGTGTTCAATACAAAAAAATTCTCACAATGAGGTAGAATCATCGTGTTGTACAACTTGAGTGATAGGTGCATAATGATTTATAAACCTTGTCAGACGTGACATCGATTCGAACCTTTGGAACCAGGTTGGAATAAAAGGCAGTCTTTGAACGGTCTATATTGTATACTTTCTGTGCAGACGGCCATACCCTCTCCTTTAGAAAGGGGGTAAATCCCTGGCTATACCATCTCTATTGTTGGGTGCAGTGCGGGGTGACTTGAATAAACATGTGAGCTATTGTAGTCATTTGTAGGGGTTCCTTTAACCTGTTGAATGGCACATCCACTCAAGCCTGAATAGATGCATGCAAACACAATAAAACAAACTCGCAAAGAAAAGCAAGATTTATGGTGCTTCGATAGCATGATGGGGTTGTTTACACACTTACAGGCTGAATTTAATCCTTTGACTACTGAATCCTGTCATTCCCATTGGCTTAGAATAAGAACAACCCGGCTCCCGCAGGCAAAGGGTTAAGTTTAGAGATTCTAAGATCTAGGTTAAGAATGATTAACATACCACTTATTCTCTATATTTCCTAAATGAAAAAAAAAACCTAGTACTTTACAAATAGGAGAATCAAATAAAACTCTTTGAGCTCTATATGCTTAATACAAAGGTTATTGGGTTTTTTAAATGCTGCCCAAAGTTAAAGGACGGGAATTAAAAAGATCGTAAACAAACTCACAGAAAAGAAAAGAAAGAATAGCATCTATTTCGCATTTTCTTTTTTTTCCACAACATTAATCCAACGTTAATACAATTATAATAACAAAAACATTATTGTTGACACCAACAAAAAGAATTGGAGTAAAATAGGACGAAATAATTTTCAGAGAAGTTTGTTTGGTATGAGCTCTCAAGAGTCACACATCATTTTTGTTTTTCCAATTAGGGAAATCGAGACTTGTGGTGACGTCTGTGGGTATATTGTCTGCGCAGATTGTAGTATTAATTAAATGGAAATGCCATATTATAATAGTAACAAAAAAAGGGCATTTGTATTTTTTAATAAAGAAACTAAAATCCTGCATCCTTACTTTAATCTACACCTCGAAAGTTAAAACCTGAAATAACTGTTAAATGTTTACGCATGCAATATAACCTGTTGAAATAATCCTCACTCTTTCGAGACGTGTAAAAGCACCTCGATCATGCTGAAAAGCCGTACTCACTAATTCCCACGGTTTTCTAAACCAAAAATGCAAACAATGAAATAACTGAACTCTGTTATTTGCACATCTCTCGTGCAGTCATGCTGCAGTCGAACAAGCCGTATTGTCAACGGCTTGAAACTACCTTGCACTGTAAACACCTGTCAGAAATAGTTAAACAAAAAGCAATAGTTCGCTTCGTTTTAAGAACAAAGCGGCTGTATCATAGTAGAGTCAAAGTGTGTAGACCCCGCTGATATTTTTCGGGGACAAAGGTTTTTAAGTGTTTTTGAGTTGTTTGGAGGTCAATGATTAAAATTAGCTCGGGTAGTCCCCTCCTAACCCCCGGCAACTCTTGTAGGGGTCAAAATAAGGTCAAAATGGGGTCAATAGGGCGTCAATTTTTTTAAATGCCCTGATTATGTTAAAAGACATGTCAAATTGTTAGTCTCGTCATACTGAACAAAAAAGTGTACATGATCATATACCCCTGACCTCCCGTTAAGAAGTTATGGCCGGAAAAGTCAAAAGGTCAACGAACTTTCATTTGAGGGCAAAATACACTAAAAGTGTTAGGATCGATCAATTTTCATGTTTTTTGTGTCTATTTATATGTATTTTGATTTAGAAATTTGAATGAGACAATTTCTACTTAAGAAGACCGTATTCAAAAGATATAAGGGGTCAAAATAAGGTCATTTGGGGTCAAATGAGCTCCTTTGGGATCAAAATACACTAACAGACTTAGGAGTTATTTGTGTCAAATTATGTGTAAATTGATGAATAATAGTGAATGAATTTTTTTTTTTTTTTAAATTTGGAAAACCATATTCAATTGATGTAAGGAGTCATTATAAGGCAAAAATGGGGTCATTTGGGGTCAAAAATGTTTAATTGACCTAAATTGTGCTGTAATGCACTCTCACACTAAATGAGAAAGAGCAGTTTCATTCTAGGGTTAAAATACGATAGGAGTGACAACAAAGCCATGTTCATTTTTTTTAAGTGTCACAATGCAGTTTACATGTAATTTAACTGGTGGCCACAATCTCAAATTAGCTTGATTGTTTTTATCTGCCCATCAGTTACATACACAACCCTGCGCTCTCTTACTAGGTATGGTAAATGTCTTAATTTGTTGCAACATACCTTTAAGGACGGATAGATGTGACAAATCAGAGGTTCTACGCATAGTCGGAATCTTCAGAGACAGAGCCTTGATCATTATCGATATCCGAATCGGAGTCAGACTGTGGAGATTGGTCATCTGCTGGTATTAGGTTGGTCAAACGTGTAGGCAATGCAGGCTTGGTGTATCGAAGTGGGATGCAGTTGCCATCTTTCATGTGCCATCCATGGTGGAGAGGTGATGGAGGAGCATCTGGACTCCTGAAGTTCAGGAAGATGTATGCCTGATAGTTGGCTCGTCTGACCTTCATCTGATGTGAGTCGCAATCAGGTGGCATTCTCTGTGTTGCTTTTTTCTTCATACTCTCCCACTTCTTTGCTCTTGCCTCTGCTAAACTTGTACTAGTTTTGTCTTTGTAGATGAACTTAATTGTGAATTGCTCCATGTCGATTTGGGTGTCTTCTGATACAGGCAGCTGTTTCCCAAGTCCTTGGAGCAAACTCCTTCCTTCCTCTGACTTCATTGCCGATTCAAAGATGGATGGTTTGCCATGGCCATAGAAGCCAGAGACAGCGTCTGCACCAGTATGAACATGAAAGGGGACAATGACATCTGCCACTTCAGGACTGCAAAGCTTCTTACAGTCATAGACGAAGCCCTTCCTCTTGATGCCTAATGATCTTTCAATCTGATGGGCTGCGTATGCTGCTAGAACCATAACATCTGTGTCTTCTGCATCGATAACAACAGTGTCTTCCACACCTGACTGTCTTAGTTGGTAATACACATAGAGAAGGATGGTGTCCGCTTCTGTGTGTTGGCATGTGAATTGCTCTAATTCTGTGCCTTTCTGCAGATCTGAGCAACGATCTCTCACCGAGTATATATAAGTCGTCTCTGGGTGTTCTAATGACATGATCTTGAACTCTGCATTCAGAAACTGTTGGAGCCGAACTTTGTTGCCTGGATTTTTGAACATATCATTGAACAGCCTGGATGTTGGCAGTGGATCATCTCTTCTCATAAATACATTTCGGCTACCTCCTACATAAGTAACGCCTGTACGCCTCTGATGTTCACTATCCTTGATACTCTCATCTAGGTCATAGGGATCATTCACAAAAAAAATTGTGGTCGCCTTTCTGTGACGACCTGCAACTATGTTGTAAATGTTGTTTGCATAATCGCCCCACGTGTAATCTGTACCATCCTGCTTCTCTCTATCCTCTGCTGATGGAGTACTAAGTCTCCAAATGAATCCCATGTCGACGAGTGCAATGTAGTTGTTAAGCGAGTTTATCTCCTCAAGATTGAGCTTGTCAACCAACTTTGATTTCATCACCTTTCTCAGTGTTCCGTTCACGTTAAAGATAGGTAGACATTCATCTGTAACACGATATTGCATTACATCGTTCAGTCGAAATGCGTCCTCACATTTCTGAGCAAGAGAGATTACCTCTGTCATGGCCTTGTTCTCCATTGCATCAGTCTTTGTAACCCGAGATGTTCCTTTAACAATTGGTGGCTTGGTGAAACTGCAGCGTGAATTCCTGTGCATCGTGTCATCAAAGTTCTTCTCATCGGAAAACATCCTCTCTTTGAAAAATGATTGAACAAGCACTTCACCATCTTTGTGCGCATTCTCAAAGTCAACGACCAGCTGATCGGATGACATCATACCAGACTGCAGAGACCTCAATGTTGGCTTGGTCTCATCAAACGGGTCACAGTCAAACTCACCCAGGCATTTGTCCAGATCTTGAACCCCTTTCTCATCTCTCTGCAGTCTCTTCTTGCAATTTTCTCTGTGATCCTTGGAAGAGTCTTTGAGGTTTGCCAGTACATGCAAGGAGTTTCTCACTTTGTTGCAAGCATTTGTGGTTTTTGTGTGTGCAAGTAACATCTTTTCGTTCTTCAAGATATGTTTCCATCCTGCTTTCATCTTTGAACCCTTGTTCATGGTCATCTCTATCCATAGATCTAGGGGTAAACAGGAATATGGTTTCCCTGTCATTGATTGGGAGAACAACCCCTCTTTCAAGTAGGTTTCCTTCTCTTCTGGTAGACTTGAGATCTCGAGCCAAA